ATCTTTTGCTAAATAGGCTTGGCCCATCTCTCTAGTGGGCTTCATGCTCATTAGTGAAGCCACATATATCCATACATGCATATTTTACATGCCATCCATACATGCATATTTTTATATTAATGGTCATATTTTTATTCCGTTTGTACTGACTAGTAGTAAAATAATTTGACAGATACATAGTGATGAAGTTGTGGAAACTGCAAAGCAAATAGCTATCAAGGAAGGCTTGTTGGTGAGTGCTTTTAATTAGAGGTGAAAAAATGGGTCGGGTTAGGCAGGTCAGCCCTAACCCGACCTGACTAAACCTGGGCTCGGTCCAGGTATGCCTAGCTGAGCGGGCTAGGCTTGCCTAGGCAGGCCCAACGGCCTGATGGGTTGATTTTTTTTTAAAAACCCGTCGAACTCGATAGGTTGGCCCTTTTAAAAAAGACAAACATTAGACATTAATTTTTTTGGTGGGCCAGCCCGGCCCGACCCGCACAAAAACCCACCAGGCTAGGGTTACCAAGCCAGCCTGGGTTGGCCCCATTGAAAAAGAGGCGGGCCTAACCGGGCTCACACTTGCTGGTAGGCCCGGCCCAACCTAGCCCTCAAATTGCCCAGGCCCAAATCGGGTTGGGCCACTTTTCCACCTCTACTTTTAATTAGCATAACATTAGAAGGAAAAAAAAAAAAAAATTGTACTTGGCCTTAATTTCAGTGTATGCATATACCATTCTTTTTTCTATCTTCAGTAGGACAAATGGGTTTACACTCGTTTGATGAGTACAAGTCATGTTAACATGCATGCATGCCTTGCAGTCGCCAAATGATCTTTTATTGAAGACTTTCTCTTTTGTAAATATATTAAGTTGGCTTATCTTCTGTTGCAGCAGCTGCTGCAGCAATGCATTGCAGTGAGTCATTTAATTCCTTAGGTTGGCCCTATTGTTTTAATACCACGTTAAGTTATCACTTGTCTCAACAAATCTGTTTTAGGGATTGACGACTTCTCTGTTCTATGACTTCTGCATTGAACATCTTAAGCAAGGGTAGAGCCAACGTGAGCCCAGGGCTGGCTAGTGGCCTCTCGAAGCTTTCAAGAAAAAAAACATTACTGTTAGACCCTAAAGCTTTTTATAATTCCTAATTATCCCCTTAAATAATTCAACTTCAAAAACATTACTTAATAAAATTTTACTCAATCCAATAATTAAACCCAAAAACACATTAATGAAATTTAGATTATAAATACGACCCATTACATACAAATTTAATTACGCAATCCAATAATTGAACTTGAAAAAAACTGAATATAAAATTTTGAAGTATATTATTTTTAAAATTTTTAATTCCGCCATTGAGCATATGGTTATAATAAATAACCTAACAATAATGCTATTTTTTTTTTTTTTTTAATAACTGAGATGTCCTTAGGGCAAGTTATTTCATAACAACCCATCGCTGTAACCAGTAGTCTCCTTGCGCCTGGTAAGGAATTGAACCTGACTATGGGTTGTAGTCATACATAACCCCTTTGGTTTGCCCTTACTGCTAGGCTATCCATGGGTGGGTCAGTGATGCTACTTTGTGTTTGTGCTTATTTAAATTGACATGATTGACCATAATGCAATGTTAAAACTAATTCTTAGTTGCATCTAACCAGAAAAGTAAAAGAAATTAGTTAAACAAATCCATTCATGCGCTTTGACTTTTTGTCTTCATAACAAATGTGGTCCAAGGAAGAGTAAGTTTGTGAAAGCTAATAGTTTGGTAAACATCCTTTCCTTGAATAGTTGATTGTTTAATTAAGCTTTGTGGTCATGAGTTTTTTCCACACAAATTTACAACAAGATTTCAAACATGATGGACCCCTTTTACTTCATTATATATTCTTCAACCATTAGTGCCCTCTTGAGCCAAATCTCAATTACATTTGTCATGCAAATAAGTAATTTAATAAGTGTGAACTCAAAAATTTAAATACCACGAGATACTATATCATCGATTCACATATTAATTTTCACTCTCTCATTTATCCTAAATATAGTTTTTAAGTTGAATATTAACATGATATGTTAGATTTGAATATTGATATTGGAGTCTTGTTTTCTTGACGTGATATTAGGGTTATTCTCAATTAATCAAATCAATCTCAATCACCCAAATTTTGGGTTAGGTTCCGTGTTTGAATCTTTCACTTACCACTCATTATTCTTTAAAAATTTCTCCAAATTCGAGATTTCGTCCAATTAGATCCATTTGAATTTATCATCGGTGTTTTTAGGTCAAATAATTACTTGACGTACAGGGTGGATCTAGAAGTAGACCAAAATTTAGAAATTATACATATTAATAATTTTTTTTTTCTAAATCATGGCCCACCCTCAACTAGTACTACATCTGCCATTGAGTACATGCATATATTGATTTATTGTACCGTTCAGACTCTCTTAGTTGCTTCGGTTTTGTTGGATTTCTTGGAATCGAGTTAATTAATTCCTTTCATTAGGATGGAAAAGGGTTTGGTTTACAAATTTTAAAAAATAAAGAAAATATTGATGATACATACAGCATCTCGTTAATTTTACAAGTTTGAATGATTTCAGGTTGTGTTTTCCAAGCTTTGGAGAAACATATATCTCAACCGTTCTTTTCCAATCAATCAAAGAAGAATGTGAGAAAATGCAACCGGAGCCATGAAATGCGAGAGTTGAAAATTTATCGATACATTTGAAATTTGTGTCATTTTTTTTTTTTTTTCAGTTTTTTAGAAAAGTATCCTCCAATCAATAATAACCCTTTTCAGAATAAAATATAAATTGTAATCCTCAAGCATAAATCATTCAAGCTTATTTTGAAATTCATTAATATAATAAAGTACTTATCTTCAAAATTTTCTAGAACTTCTAATATGCAATTTAGTTATCTAAAATTTGATTATTGACTTTGAATTGCCTGATACTTTTAGATATGTGCTTTCCACATGCAACTTATTTTGTATTAATCTTTTATGATCATTGATGTGAAATTTCAGCAAATTATTTTACAAAAAGAATGGAAAATTTGATAGTTAGGAATCGACATTTGAATTATTATTATTATTTTTTTTTAAAAAGAATATTGGACATCCACAAGAGGGAAATTTTTTACTTCTATAAGTTCTATATATTAAATTAAACTAAGTGGGGCATGCATGCCATTTTTGGAAGTAATTGGTTGGTCTTCGAATATGGAAATTCTTATTGAAAGTTTATATTAATATTTATTTCTTGATCAATATAGAGTTCACATGCAACTCATCATATGACATCAACTTTCACTGTTGAATTTTAATTTTATATTTTAAGGAAACAAAGAGCTTAAAGTCAAATAAATTATTATTTGTTTTGTTTACAAGTGTAGCATCCCTAGCCATAAAACAACTAACCCCACTATTCCAAAGACTTAATTGCTCTGTCACCTTCTTACAAATTTGTGTCTATGATTTTTTTAAGATTTTCTTTTCTATATAATTAGGACCTTATGATATTAATTTATCAAGATTTATTTGAATTATAAAATATTATTTTAGTCCAATGAGCTTTTTCTCTCCATATATATATATATTTGGAGAATCCAAAAATTCCCCGACACCTGCTTCACAAGCCCGACTTTGAAATTAGGCCTCCGTTGAATCCTATAATTTTTTAAAAGCATGAAATGATAATCATTGATCGTCTAGATGCTCATAATGGAATCAAACCTCAAACCTTGTGAGAGCAAACCAGGAATTGTTAAAATAATTTTTTAAAGCAAAATGGTATGATTGTGACACCGAAATATTGCAAATATTAATATAAAGCATAACATTTACAATATACAAAAATGATTAATTTTGTTTTAACTTTGTACCACATTAACATGGCATGTTTAAATTAATTCATTACTGCAGGACTGACCATCCAATATTCTACTTTCATAAATGTACAAAAACAATAAAAATATATATATATATATATATTAGTCGCATGTCTAAATTAATCAAATCTTTCATTAAGACTATTCAACAAGAAATTAAATTAAAAATTGTGGAATGAAGAGGTCCCCTATCTAAAAATCCTAATATGGCTTAGTCCATTTTGGCTTTTTAAGCATGACAAAAGCACTTTAATTCCCTGTGGATTCCAAGCATGCAAAGCATAAACACTGTTTAGTTAATTAATTGCTTATTAATTTATTTGTTTTAACATTAGTTAATTAGCTCTATAAGATGAGGTCCCCTACTTGTAAGTACAATATAAATTATTGATTAAAAAATTTATTAAAAAAAATGAAATGAGTTGTCAAATGGAACTTAATATCTAGGTTTTGTTTTATCGATGATGAATCGACGAGGGTGATCTTGTGCTTCCTTGAGATTTGGTCGAATCTATTTATTTTAAATTTAAAGTTAAAGGAAGGAGTAATATTAAAAGAATTTTAAAGTTTTTACTTGTTATAAATCATAAGTTAAATATTACCTTATCTAGATTTATGTTAGGACCATATTGTAAGAATATATATTATTAATTTCTATTATTATATAAAACCTCATTTATGGTTTGTTTTAAGAGAGGATTAGAACATAAATAAATATATAAATAAAAATATGGTATGATATTCTTTACTTCCACCATCCATCCTTAAATCAAAACAACAACAAAAAAAAAAAAAAAAAAAAAAAAAAAAAAAAGGTACATATATGAAGAGATAATAATCTTTGTAAAAAAACATAATATTATAGGGATACCATGAATATGTATCACTTTTTTAAATTGTTTTCTCCTTTACATATACATCTAATGTAAATGGTATATTATATGCTTGAAACATATAATATTTGATTGAAGAAATTAAAATTCACAAAGTATGGGGTTAGGCGTCTGTTTCACTCAGTCCATGCTGGTTGGCTTAATTTATATATAATTTTTCTCAATTCTCAAATCAGCTGCATGTGTTCTCTCTTTATTTAATTTCACACTAGCCCTCTCTTTCTCTCTCTCTCTCTCTCTCTCTCTCTCTGTGTATAAATATTTCTTATCAAATCTCTGGTTCAAAATCTCTCATCGATTCAATTGAAGTTTCATATTCAGCTCCTTGTTTCAGTAAATTATAATGAAAGCAGAAGATCAAGTAGAAGTCGGCATCTATCCTTCTTCTTTTTCTTCTTCCCTCTCCTTAACAAAGTAATGATTACTACTCTCTAACCCTTCTTCTTCTTCTTTTATGTCTCTTGTGTGGATGCATTTGATTTAGAAGTGCTTCTAAAGCAATCAAAAGTGCTTTCAGCCCAAGAAATTAAAGCTCTTCTATGATCTATTTATGTTAAATCAATGAAAACATTTTCTAATTTTATTAATTTTCTCGAGAAACACTTGTATTAGAAGTGCTTTTTATCTCCTTCTTTTATGTCTGTTGTGTATGCATTGATTTAGAAGTGTTTCTAATCCCAACCAAAGAAATTATAGCTCTTCTATATATGGTAATGAAAGTTTTTTCTACATAATAAGAAAAGCATTTGATGTTTAATTTTGTTTTCTCGAAAAACACTCGTATTAGAAGTGCTTTATCTCTTCTTCTTCTTCTTGTTATTTTTCTTCTTCTAAGAAAATAACTACTCTCTCCTCTTTGTCCTTTATCTCTCATGTGGATGCATTAATATAGAAGTGCTTGTAGTTCAATCAAAAGTGCTTTCAACCCAAAAGAAAAGCTCTTCTATATCTCTTTTGTTTTTAAAGCATTCAGCCAATATTATTAAGGAAAGTGTTTTGTGTTATTTTCTAGAACAAAAAACACCTACCGTAGAAGTGATTTTAGTTAACTATATACTTAATATACTCTACTTTCTGTTGATGTATTAAAATGGTTTAGAAATACTTTCACCATTCTCGAAAGTGCTTCCATCTTTGGCAATTGGCAAAAACATTTTTTCCCTCTTTTTTTAATATTAAAATTGCTACTACTACTATGAAAAGTGCTTTCAACTCTACCAAGAAGTGCTATATTATTATTATTATTATCTTGAAAAAAACACTTACAAGAAGTGCTTTTAGTTTACTACCACATACCACTCTTAATCTTCTTTCTCTTCATGTATCAAGACAGTATTTCAGAATTGTTTTTACCCTTCTCAAAAGTGCTTCCATATAAGTTTAAAAAAAAAAAAAAAAAAAAAAAAAGGTTCTTTTACTTCTCTATATTACAATATAGTATTTATTTACAATTACCAAAAGAAATTGTATAAACCAAAGAAATGAACTTGAAATAATATTTATTTAAAGATGAAAAATTTATTCAAAAGAAACCACCTAAAAGTCCTTTCTACGAAAGCACTTATTTTCTTTCTTTCTTTCTTCCTTTCTCTTCAGATGGTGGTCAAAGGAGACAGTAGCCATAGTAACCGGAGCGAACAAAGGGATCGGATTTGCTGTGGTGAAGAGACTTGCAGAGCTGGGATTGACTGTAATTTTAACAGCCAGAGATGTGGAGAGAGGAGAAAAAGCAGTTGATTTACTGAGAAGGCAAGGGCTTCTCCATGTGAGCTTCTGTCAACTGGATGTTTCTGACTCTTCTTCTATCAGAACCTTCGTTTTATGGTTCAAAAACAAGTTTGGAGTCCTGGATATTCTTGTAAGTTTTCCACATAGTTATCTATAGAATCTTTATGCCTCATCAAGAAAACTATATCTCATTATCAGTATATTATATAAAATTTAGATAAGATAAACATATCATGTCATTTGTATATTTATCTACATATAATAGTCTGTTCATAAAATTCTTAAAAAAAGTAGACTTCTCAATTTAAATATTAATGTTGAGCATTTACCTATTAGTTTATGCTTTTAAGTTAAAGTGGTAACTTAACATAATCTTAAATTCACATGGTTCGAGCTATTAACATTGAGCCTACTTACTAACTCTATTAAGTTTTTAGCTTTGGTTACTTAACCATCAATTATACAAGTTTAAGACAGGACAACGATGCCTTATATACTTTTACCTATATCTACTAAGAACTTATTGTGTATGTAAATAGTCTTTAAAATACCAATTCGATGATAGAGAAAATTATATAGCATGCATGAGTTTTGTAAACAGATTCATCGTCACGAATAATATGATATATTTGTCTCACTTCAGTTTTTTATATTCTTACTTTTGCACATATACGTATGCTATGAAAGTATTATAATTTTTTTTTTTTTTTTTTTTGTTTACAATTTTCATAATATAGTTATATATTTGGTATCATTAATAATAATCTAGCTAACTACTCCTGAATAATCGAATGGTCGAACATGGACTTTTGAGTATATTACTTAAAATGTCTTGAGTTCATTTTACCTCTATTGCATAAACATGATTACTAGAGGTTTACCCAGTCGCGTAATAATCTGGATACCCTCAATCATTAAAAAAAAAAAAAAAAGGAACAATAATCTAGCTGAGCTCATGATTAAGCATTGTCAGAAATTTAAATTGGACATAATAAAACTTTGAATTAATTATTAATTAGAAAGATTAAGGTTCAAAATCTCCCAACTTTTAAATATTAATAGGATCTGTGTCTCATGTGCTAGGTTCATATGCAATTCCCTGTAGCTAGGTTTTTAATTCAATTATAAATTCTTTCTTCCGCCATAGAATTAAAATAAGATTGCGTTAAGGTATAGTTTTAGACTCTGAGGGAAGAAAACTTCATAAACTAAGTGAAACTCTTCAAAATGCTTGGTTGAATTCAATGGTCTCTTCAATTAATTAATTATAAAATTAAAGCATTTATAATTAATTCCTATAGTATTGTAAGGAATCTTGAATATATACAAATTGAAAAAGGGTCATGAACTGGAAAGTTAGCTTTCTGCTACTTAATTGTTTGAAAACAAACAAGTTGATTTTTTTTTTTTTAATGAGCACTTAAAAGAAAAAAGGACAAATACTTTAATTTATGTGATTATTAATAATTTAGTGTGAATGTTTTGAAGGTGAATAATGCAGCAGTATCATTCATGACATTGGAAAACTCAGTGGAGCATGCAGAGATGTATGAAAACTAATTTCTATGGGCCAAGCTTCTCACTGAATCCCTCTTGCCCTTCTTCGTCTATCTCCTTCCAAAGCTCGAATACTCAACTTAGCTCAAGACTTGGCTCATTAAGTGTAAGTAATTCATTAATACTGAATTATCTTTGTGGGTTTATTTGTTTAGTGAAGGAAGAAAATGTTTTTAAGATTTGTTTTTGTGAATTTAATAATGAAAACAAGATATTAAATACGTGGTCTCCCAAGATTGGAGGATAGGTCATTTGATATTAAAGAAAAAGTTTGATTTTGTGTTGTTTTCTAAATTTTATTCTTCTAAACTTTTTGAGTTTAAAACACATTAGTTTTCTTAGAACCCTTTAAAAAAAAAAAAAAAAAAAAGGTTGGATTCGAAAACAAAAATCATTCCCTCCTATAAACGTCTTGAGATTTTAAAAATCTGAAATTATTTCGGATTTCTAATGTAAAAAATTTCTCTAAAATTTTGTCTTTTAATACATTCATACTGTCAGAAACACAGACACTGATTTTTGAAAAATCAGGATATTTGCACCATACTTGACGATTTACCTTTAAAACAATAATTAACAAATGCCACATACATTATTTTATTTTATCTTTGAAATTTTTTTTTAAGAAAAAGAAACTATATTATCAAGTTCAATTATATATATTATCTTTCATTAAGCTAATAGTTATTCATCATACATGCAGAAAGTGAGAAACCCTAACATAAAGCAAATTCTTCAACAAGAAGACCTCTCAGAGGATCAAATTGACCAAATTGCCAAATTATTTCTCCAAACTGTGAAGAATGGGACATGGGAGAGCCAAGGCTGGCCAAAACTATGGACAGATTATGCAGTCTCAAAGCTTGCCCTAAATGCATACTCTAGGGTTTTGGCAAAGCGTTACGAAAAAAAGGGAATCAGTGTAAATTATTACTGTCCTGGCTTCACACAGACGTCTATGACTCGTGGTCAAGGCACTCATTCTGCAAATGATGCTGCAGAAGTCGTCGCAAGGCTCGTTTTGCTTCTTCCTGAAGAGCTCTCAACAGCTAAATTCTATATAGGGTTTAACCCATTTGTTAAATCTAAATTATAAGATGTATTGGATCGTTACGAACTAGTTAAAATAATTTTTGTGATCAAGTGATTGCATAATGTCTTCAATGTAAACTGTGTTGAAGACGATCGTTGTGAATTATTCTATTTAGGGTTTGGTCCATATGTTAAGTCTAAGTTATAGAAGATGTATTTGAAATGTAATATTTTGTTAGATCAATCCTCAATAAAATATTACATTATCAAAAAATAGTTTAATTAATTAATAAAATTCTAGGTTAAGTAATTATTTAACATATATATTTCGATCCATGTTATACTTTTTTCGGGATGATTTATTGTATTTTGATTCATGTTACATCCTAAACACTTTTACCAAAGAAAACATCGGTTTAGGAGAATATCAGTGGATAAGTTTTACATTATCAAAGCATCATTACTTATCGCTAAAAGAAAATACACATAAAGTTTAATCTCTTTGTTCTAGTAAAAAAATCAGTTATAGATAGTTATATTACAAATTATAAGAGAAAACAAACTGATTGGATCTATCATTGTAAATTGTTATGATATATATATATATATATATGTTATGCTATAATATAACCCCAAAAATAAACATATTAAACACCTCCTAATTTTTATTTATTTTTTTTTCTTTTAACACTACAAAATTGATATTCAAAGTTCAAAAACAAAACAAAACAAAACACCCCTATGATTTCCTTGCTTTAATCATCTTTGATTTTGAAATTTGAAGATCTAAAACCCAATAAAATAATGGGCTTATGCTTTCTCAAAAAAGCCAGTTTTGCATCGTGCAGCCCAGACCGGCCCTTTTGAGCCAATTCAAAGTTGAAACACCAAATATTCAGTTTCTCCTTCTCTGTACTTCGGGTTCTGAGGTTCTAAGAAACTCATTCTCTTCTTCATTTCAAAACACGAGGTTCTTTCTACTCTCTTTCGTGTTCTAATTCATAATTTTGTAATTTTTTTTTAATTTTATGTTTGTTGGTTTTGTTTTGTTAGTTTTGTGGTCCATCATTTCAATTTTTGGTTTTTGTTTTTCACTGCAATTTCATGTTTTTTAGATACTCTTTTAGATTTTGTTTGTTTTGGTTAAGATTTCATCTGGGATTTGTTTTTTTGGATAGGAAAGGGTTAATTTGTGTTGTTTTTCATCTTAGTTTGTTAAGATCAGAAACAAAAGTTAAAACTGTACAAAAGGGACTTTTTTCTTACATGTTCATTGATTGGTTAATCCACCTCCTGAGGAAGAATCCCTTGTGGTTATAAATAGTTATTTCTGGGTTTGATAATTATTCATTAAGTGCCTTCTTTGCCTTTTTTTCTCAAAGAATGATATGGATCTTTTTGCCTTTGTTATTAATGTTATGATATGGAGAACTTTCAGAACGGTTAATGTCTCTGTGATTTTTTTGGCTACCACAACCAGAAATCATAGGTTTTTCATATGTTGAAAAAATTGGTGTTTGGGAATATAACATTTCTCTAACTTGTGCAACATCTATGTGTTGTTGTAAAGTGTTTATAAAATTGACTTTCGTATAACCACTTTATTGGATGGTGTGCAGCTTTGAGGCGTAACTACTTTACAGCAAATTATTTCTTTTGAGATGGCCAGGTTTTCAGGATTCAACAGCCTTGCACCTAAACCAAGAATGTGGTAGTTGCTGGAGGCTTGACGCTTTTGTCTTTGGGTGTATTTCTACACCATGAGAGCTGTTGGGGGCACAGATGAACTTCAGCTGCTATAGATAAGTTTGAAGCTCAGAAAAACAAGCAAGAGACTTGAATCATGAGCCATTACAGCTTGTTCTTACGTTCCCTGGTGTAAATGTATAACTGAACATTTAAAAGGTAATTACCATGTAAGAACCAATTACACTTTTTCCCTTATCAAGTCCTTTTCTGGATTGTTCATAAAAGTCAAGTCTTATTAACCTCGCTACTACAAATTTGATTATTGTTCATATTTGAGAACTATGTTTTGCAACATGTTTTAGGATTTGTTTTCATATCGATGAACTTGCAAATTTGGATTGTTCATCCATCTCATCGATGAACTTGTTCATAGAGTGCATCCTTTTGGACAACATCGAGGGGTTGCTCCAGATTATTGGTATACCATTTTTTTCTCTCATCAGTGAAGCTTGGTAGTCTATCTCTCACTATTTCTTTCATAAATTTTGGATAATCCATAACAAGTGGGTTCACATACCATCCCAATTCAGTGTCATTGATCTTTTGGCTGCAAATTTATCTCCAATGAATCCGAAAATGGCTCATGATAGGTGCTTATGGGTGATCCCATTTGTCCCCTTCCCTTGTCTTTGTAGCAAGTAGAAGATTGGGGATACTTGGGATACAAGAAGTTAGTATGAATCCTTGTTCATCTTGTTCTATCTGAACATCTCTATAAAATGGACCAAATCCCTATATATATATATATATATATATATAATATATATATATATATTATATTATATTGGTCGATAAATTTCAAATTATGAAGATATAGTTACTTATTACTACAATATTGTACATGCACACAAAGGTTACGTGCTACAATGAAATCTTGTACAAGAAAAAAATATGTTACGCTGTAATATAACCCTAAAAATAAACATATTAAACACCTCCTAAATTTTCTCATTTTTTTTATTTATTATATATATATTTTTTTTTTACAGTACAAAATTGATATTCAAAGTTCAAAAACAAAACAAAACAAAACACCCCTATGATTTTGTTGCTTTAATCATCTTTGATTTTGAAATTTGAAGATCTAGAACCCAATAAAATAATGGGCTTACGCTTTCTCAAAAAAGCCCAGTTCATCTCAGCCCGGCCCGGCCCATTTTGAGCCCAATTCAAAGTTGAAACACCAATATTCAGTTTCTCCTTCTCTGTACTCCGGGGTTTTGAGGGTTCTAAGAAACTCATTCTCTTCTTCAATTTCAAAACACGAGGTTCTTTTCTACTCTCTTTCTTGTTCTAATTCATAATACTTTGTAATTTTTTTTAATTTTATGATTTGTTGTGTTTGTTTTGTTAAGTTTTGTGGTCCATTATTTCAATTTTTTGGGTTTTGTTTTTCACTGCAATTTCATGTTTTTTAGGTACTCTTTTAGGATTTTGTTTGTTTTGGTTAAGATTTCATCTGGGATTTGTTTTTTTTGGATAGGAAAGGGTTAATTTGTGTTTGTTTTGTTGATATATTATGTGTTAAGAATTAATGTTAATGTGTCTCTTATTAAGTAATTCCAGAGATTTACTTTTAGACTGTTGAATTTGCCTGTTGAATCTCATATTTATATGCAGTGTTTATGTTTGTTATAGAAAATGGGGGAGGAAATTAAAGGAGTAATTAACACTCACCTAAGCGGACATCTATAATTTGGATTGAGAAAATGTGCTTTTAGATGATTGTTTCCGGTAACGGTTGGAGGTAATCCCGTTTTCTGTAAATACCCTTGTGGAGAAGTAGATGTATGTCATCTCTGAAACTGTTTTTATTATTGAATAGTTGGACGGTACAATCTAAGATCAACGGTGAAAAGGTGGAAACAGAACAAAAGGGGCTTTATTTCTTAGGTGGGAGTTAACCCCGGTGTCATGAGGAAAGATTTGGTTATAATGTTATTAATAATTTTTTAGCTATGGATAATCAGCATAGAAAACATTGGTATAAGTTTTCATCAAGAACTTTTTGATTATTGTTTCTGGTAACGGTTTGAAGAAAACTGTTTTCTATATATACTCTTGTTGAGGAGTAGATGATGTTGTATCTGGAGCTATTTCTATCCTTGAAATTGTTTGCCAGTATCATCTTAGTTTAGTTAAGATCAGAAACGAAAAGTTGAAAACTGTACAAAAGGGACTTTATTTCTTACATTGTTCATTGATTGGTTAATCCACCGTCCTGAGGAAGAATCCCATTGTGCTGTTATAAATAGTTATTTCTGGGTTTGATAATTATTCATTAAGTGCCTTCTTTGCCTTTTTTTCTCAAAGAATGATTATGGATCTTTTTGCCTTTGTTATTAATGTTATGAATATGGAGAAAGTTTCAGAACGGTTAATGTCTCTATGATTTTTTATGGCTGCCACAACCAGAAATCATAAGGTTTTTCATATGTTGAAAAAATTGTGTTTTGGGAATATAACATTTCTCTAACTTGTGCAACATCCATCGTGTTGTTATAGAGTGTTTATAAAATTGACTTTCGTATAACCACTTTTATTGGATGGTGTGCAGCTTTGAGGCGTAACTACTTTACAGCAAATTATTTCTTTTGAGATGGCCAGGTTTTCAGGATTCAACAGCCTTGCACCTAAGACCAAGAATGTGGTAGTTGCTGGAGGCTTGACGGCTTTTGTCTTTGGGGTGTATTTCTACACCATGAGAGCTGTTGGGGGCACAGATGAACTTCAGACTGCTATAGATAAGTTTGAAGCTCAGAAAAACAAGCAAGAGACTTGAATCAATGAGGCCATTACAGGCTTGTTCTTACGTTCCCTGGTGTAAATGTAATAAGCTGAACAATTTAAAAGTTTAATTACCATGTAAGAACCAATTACACTTTTTCCCTTATCAAGTACCTTTTTCTGGATTGTTCATAAATAGTCAAGTCTTTATTAACCTCGCTACTACAAATTTTGATTATTGTTCATATTTGAGAACTATGTTTTGCAACATGTTTTAGGATTTGTTTTCATATCGATGAACTTGCAAATTTGGATTGTTCATCCCATCTCATCGATGAACTTGTTCATAGAGATGCATCCTTTTGGAGCAACATGGACGGGTTGCTCCAGATTATTGGTAATACCATTTTTTTTCTCATCAGTGAAGCTTGGTAGTCTCTCTTCACTATTTCTTTCATAAATTTTGGATAATCCATATACAAGTGGGTTCACATACCATCCCAATTCAGTGTCATTGATCTTTTGGCTGCAAATTTATCTTCCAATGAATCCGAAAATGGCTCATGATATGGTGCTATATGGGTGATCCCATTTTGTCCCCTTCCCTTGGGTCTTTGTAGCAAGTAGAAGATTGCGGGATACTTGCGGGATACAATATAAGGTTTAGTTAATGAATGTCCTTGTTTACATCTTGTTCTATCTGAACATCTCTATAAAATGGACCAAATCCCTATTTTGATTCGCATAATTTTATTAAATAACTAGGTATTAATCTATAAGGTTGTGGGGATTTGTTCTCCCCAAATAATTCATATATATAGAACTGTGATCCCATATTTAAGTGTTTATCTTCGTGTTTTAGTCGACTTTGAATAACTTTTCTTGACTTCGGAAACTTTTGTTTGGTAACTATTCTCTTATACCCTGTAGTTAACGATTAAGTAAACTTCAGTGGTCACTCCTATTAGCAACAGGGGGAATTGAACTCAAACCTTTTGAATAATATATCCAAGAGTTTTTATTGCACCACTTAATCACGTAGAAGTGGTTAACTTCGGAATCTTACGAGCTATAAATAACTATTGCTAAAGTTGGAAATTTCAGAATTTTATAAGATTTATGATCCATTTTCATGATCATATTTAACAAACAATTAAACAAAAACTCGATATTGAATTCCATAAAAGATACATAAAGTTTCCTTCAAAATATAACTTCTACACATTCACTCTAGCTACAAAATCATATTATAAACATGTTTTCCGTGTCGAAATTGGAGGAGATCGCCGCGATGTTCTTTGAGCTTCATCACAAGTCTCTCATGGAGGCTTCTGTTCACCCTCATTGTTTCTCTCAAAGCTGTTTGTACCACATAGTTCCCAAAACTGTGATTGGCAACTTCCACAATTCGGTTGCTCCCCAGAAACTCTTCAACTACATAATGCATAAAGTTATCATACTTGAGGCATCTCTCTACCACATGGCTTCCACCTTTTCTCATGGATAGATCAATGAACCGGCCTCTAAGCGCCGAGAAAACTTTTTCAATCAGTTCCGGATCCTCGAGGTCTAAAACATGCTGCAAAACATAGTTCCCAAACGGATTCTTTGCCACGCATGCTGCATTCATGGAAATCAAAAGAAGGATTTGTTTTCTGCGCGGGCTTCTCATCTCATCGATGAACTTGTTCATTGAGATACATCCTTTTTCATGATTCGCCACAGTGAGACAATGTTCTAAAGCTGCTTGATATACAATATCATTCTTTTTGAAATAATTGTTGTCTAGACTCAGCAAGATTACAGAAGATCCTGTTTTATCAACCATCAAGAGCTCAAAATTTCTTCCCAAAGTGGTCATAATTTCTTCCAGGAAATTCGTTCTGCTTTTACCGAGCACTCGGATCAGTTTCTTAATACTGGAAGAACCGTTTATATCCCTAGATGCATTAATAAACAAGTGATCATCCGAAGCTATCCTGAATGTAATCAGTCCGAGTTGATCGTCGTTACAGGATTCAATCAACTTTCCGAATACAAAACGTCCATGTTGGCTGGTCACCACCTCTAGAGTGAACTTCAGAACCATCTCAAACACCCTGGAAACTATCCAGGAATCCTTCTGGAAAAATAAAACTTGACAGAGAAACTTCGAGCCGTGTTCATCTTTCGCCATCAGAAGAATATCATCAACTCCACGATCTATAACATTATTACCCGAATTCCGAAAAGGATTTGCTCGACGCTCCTGGCCGGATGTCAGGATCAATGGCGTTTGGGGAAAAAAACAACTCGCAGCTGGGAAGTTGTTGATTGAAGAGGAAGAAGAAGAGCAACCTCCAGGATTAAAATAGCAGCCACATCCGCCATTATTGAAACTATCAGCGACCCAGATGCTATCCGAATACAATGGACGTGCAGCTAAAGAAGAAGAAGAAAAAGAAAAACCTGAAGTATTGTCCACCTGAAGGTTTGAAAAAATATCAGAGAGATTATCAGCTGAAGCAAACGCACTTGAGTATGAAAGTTCAAAATCAGAAGCAGAAGCACATAAGAAAGAGGGTTTAGAAGCAGAAGCAGTTGAAGGCTTCATGATGAAGAAGGAGAAAGTAACTTGAAAGTTTGATAGAATGGTCAGAAACATTATGGTGTCTATATATAAAAATTACAGGAGTCCGAAATTGGAATGGAAATCACTCTGGAAAGAGGAAACTTAATTTAATTCAAATTAAAGTGGGGTTCTTTTGATTTTGATTACAAGTTCTTATACGAGTAGGAATCCAAATTCTAGTTCTAAAGGATTCTGATTTCGATTTCAACTAGGATTAAGCTTATAATTCAGTTCTTGGAGAATTTCTCGACAGCCCCTCGGTTTAAAAAATTAGCACTGCCAACCCCAATGCTCATGGACTATCTATGGCCTGGAAACTACGATTGTGCCCTTATTGTTTGTTGAGTAATGCTACAGTTATCGAAGGATGCGCACCGAATTCGTGCACCGAATGATGTGTCGCAATCTTGACCGCTGATTCATTATAAGTTAATATTAATCAACGGTCAAGATTTTGTTACGTCATTCGGTGTGTAATTTTCGGTAACTCTATCGTGCACCAAATGACGTATCGCAATCTTGACCGTTGATTCATTATAAGTTAATATTAATCAACGGTCAGGATTTTGTTACGCCATTCGGTGCATAGATTCGGTGTGTAATTTTCGGTAACTCTATCATTTTCCTTGTTTGGGAATGACATTATATATATATTTAATTATTTATAAAAGATTGAAAATATTAAAAATTTTAAACTATCGATGATTTAACAAAAACCCAATAATTTAAATAAAAATATATTATTATAATTATTCTTTTCTCTTGTTTGATAAATACCCAGATCAAGTTTCTTTAAAAACCCCAAACTCTTGGCAAATGAAAATTTAAGGAGAAAAAAAAATTAAGAGAATTTTCTTACTTTAAATTGTTTGGAGGGTTGAGTTATTTACACCAACAAAAATAACTCTACACACCCAATTTTTAGTACACAGTGTTACAATTTTGTACATTATTATTTTTTTAATTAATTTTATATGATATGCAATCAAGATTCAATTTATTGATTGTGTTGAAATTATGAAAATATGAGAAAAAATATATATTAAACTTTTAATATTGGTTGTCACATTTCTAATAAAATGGCAAATTGTAATCCAACCCAGAAAAAAACCTACATCCATTAGTTACAATAAATGCCAAATAATGCATCTACACAAATAACACAGGAAATAAAAATTTTCACTGTCTGAATCTCTTCCGGACTCTGAATCCGGACACTGGTTTTGACCGGAAGGGCTCAGCCCCCGTGTATATCTTTCACCATCCCATAACAAGAAATATCAAGTACAAAGACAAAGAGAAGTGACTACAAATTACAGATACTTTCTCGCAAGTGCACGAACTTTTGTATCAAAATGAGATGATGTAATCCGTGAACCGGGCAAGTATAATGGATTAAGAAGGATCTGCAAGATTTAGAAACCACATTAATCAACAAACAGTCTCTTTCGAGAAAGAGAAAGGGAGCGATATTCTGTTGAAGTTCATTTTCAAGCACTATAGAACTAGAACCATTGTAATCTCTAAATGACCAATATAATTCACAACAATGCTCAAAAATATAAATGGAAGAAACTTCAGAGGCGAAGCTGGAAATCGATAATTTTACCTTTATGTAAAGCTCATGCACCTCTTGGAAAAAGCTCTTGATTCCATCATCATTGCGAGAGTCGTGAAGTAGCATCAATCGTGTATGTGTGGAAAGTCAAAGAAAATATCAACTCAAAACTAGTTTGCAAACAGAAAACTACGAGTGTAACGTGACATTACTGCCGAAAGCCTGCAATACTTCAACAATACAACAATTTCCACAACCATTTGCACGGTCTAAAAGATCTTAATTTATATAAATTTCAGGGAAAGAGTTGTACTTTTAATGTTGTTTCAGAATCAAAGATGCACAATTGGGACAGAAATAAGAACTTGAAACCTGTACTTCACTTTACATATTAGTAAAAAAAAAAAAATTCACCAACTAAGCAGTCTCAAACATTTTAAAATTTTAATCAATTTTGAGTAATTTGCTGTTACCACAAACGATTTGTAAAAGAAAACTATAATTTAACAATAGAAATCTCATCTTATCTATATACTTAGTCCAACTATAAGAAAGGATATGACCAGCCGTAACATAGACTGAAACCACCAAATCATTAAATCTGTCAATTGCTTTCAAGAACCTGAGAGAAAAATGTGAAAATAAAATGTATGAGATTCGAGAGTGAAAACACAATCAGGTCCAGGAAGACATTTGTGATAATACTTGGATATTTTTGGAGAAGTAGAACTCACATGGCACTAGTAGTCCATGCAAGGTCCTGCACAATATCCAGAGCTGCATGTAATATGAATTGGTGAAGCTGTGCAGCATCTTCTCTCTGTCATGAAGTTGATGGGATCAGGATATCGGCTTTGGAACAACTTGCAAGCAAGGAATGAATGTACAACTAGATATGTATATATAATTACAGATCACTAATGAAAGAATGTAAAACCTTGTCCTCAAAGACAGAAGCTTGGCGCTGAAATTTAGAAGAGTACAACTCGATTATGGCACCAAAAAGCATCACTTAAACCATGGCTTTCTCTTAGACAATAAATGTCATGTTATGATGCTCATTTTTAGAGAAATACAAAATATTATGATGTTCCCATCGAAATCCAATGAATATTAAGATAAAATCCAATAACAAACAATGTTTTCAATGGAACCCCAAGTGATGATTGAATCGAATAACCCTTGAATTTCCAACCAAGAGGTAGGAGATTCAAAATTCCCCTTGGTGACACCTTCCAAAGATATTATATCCCACCAATTTCCTAACTACCAAAGTTATAGGGTCGGGTTCGATAGTAGTCTACAGTTTCAAACCCGACAAGGAATTTCCTAGTTACAAAAATTTTTAAATAGAAAAAGGACAAGGTGCTTTCTTCGGATGTAATCAGCAAATCATTTACATGGAACCAGAAACAAACCCATATTTACATAAAACTAGATTTTGAAAAGAAGGAACTAAAACAATACAACTCTATTAATAACTAAACCTATGCAGCAATAATTATAAACATGAGAAATATAAAACAGTAATGGAGAATGTCATACTTTAACAGCAGATCCAACTTCAGCTTCATATATAGGAATTTCATTCCTGCTCACAATAATAAAACAAGCTGTAGTCGCCATCCCCGCTTTCTCACAAAACCTATGCAAGATAAAACCAGATTTCAACCACAATACAACAAGAAACAAAATCAAGACGCATGACGTTCAACAAAACATCCTAACGGTGCTAACGAGAATCAACACAAAGAGTCAAAATGTAACAGGGTAATCCATGTTCATCAAACTTCATTTTACATCACAATAATGATCATATAAACAAAATGTAACTTTTTTTCCATTTAATCACAAGAAAATTGATTCATAATAGAGTCATTCATGCTCATCAAACTTCCATTTTACATGCGTTTTCCCCCCTCTTAAAACTAATTAGAAAAATACCCAGATTCAGAAAACATTACTAAGTAAAACTAAAACGAAATATAAAAAGTGATCTTCATCAGAGAAACATTCAAATTAGCAAATCCCTAACAAAACAAAGCCAAAAAAGAACCAGAAATGATCATGAAAAAGCACAAAAATTGGAGTAAATTTCGACCATCGAACAAATTATTTGATCGAGGCCCATCAGAAGAAAGCATTGAATTAATCAAAGCTTGAACTCACCGAATCAGAAGACGAAGAAAATCAGTGAAGCAAATCAAATCTTGCGAGTGTGTTGTTGTGACTTGAGAGAGAAAGTGTAAATCAGCTTAACAGAAAAAACCGGTTTAGTTCAGGGGAAAGAAAACCGGTTTGGGTTGTTTTGGTAAAATACATTTAGTCCCCCAAGGTTTGGAGATATTTCATATTTCCCTTGTTATTATATAAGATTTTTGCTACATTACCGGAAAAAGTAACATTACATCGGCCTATTAATTACTGTTGTAGACAGATTCTGATCCAACGATGATTAGATAAAGATATACGAATAATTAACGTTATGCATTCAAGTAGTATAAAAAAACTCGTCCTTAAAACTTCCTTCTTTCAATTTGCATATATTCAAAGAACTTCAAATTTTATAAATAAATTTAATTCTTTAAGGTATTTTTATTTGACCATCAAATTATTATTAAAATCCGATGTATACATGATAATTTTATGCTATCCCATAAAAACCTTTGATACGTCCTTCATGTTTTCCTTATATACATAGACCCTCCCATTTGAAGGATATCTCACAACTAATGTTTTAAAACCCCACCCGAGGTGAAACCTGACAAAGTGGTCAGGCCCTGGGTTGATCAATTTAACCATTGTAAGCGACAAACTAAATCGATGTCTAAAAGTTTAAAATCTTACAAAAATACCCCAAACATCATTATCGGTGTCAGCAAATAAAGCTTGTTTTTTGTGACGACAACTCCCCATCACCAAAAAAACACTCCCCTCAGCCCATTGACCAAAACTTATCTCACCCCTCCCCGTTCGCCCCCCCAATCGCTGGCAACAGTGGGCTTTTTCTAGTGACATAGTTTTGTAATTTCCAGTCGATTCACTCATCGGAAATCACCGTCGTTACCACCATTGTACTCATCGGCCATTCATTTTCAAAAGCTCTAACATTTCAGCCTTCAATTGTTCACGGATTGATATTCTAATTATAGAGTTTTGAATTAATATGAAAATTTATAACCCAACCTAGTGAAGGCTCGATTCAATAGCCAGGTTGGGCCAAGTTTTAAAATACTGCTCACAACTATACCCCTTAAGACATTAATTTATACTTAGTTTCTAATTAGTTTTGGGAAAAGTAGTTTAAGAGACTTAAATAACTTAGCAACTTTTCATTTCTGTAAAAAGAATTGCAAAATTTCATAAGGACCATTATGTGTGATCGATTGGTAAGACAAATTTTGAGCATGAATAAATAATAATTCCACTTTTTTCGACATTTAAAGGCCTTGCATAATATAACTCAATGCCTTCTCCGAAAACAAAAAATGGAAAAATCTCAATTACTTGACCATTGAGAAATATAACATCGTGAGTCGTAACTCGTAAGGGTAGTTTGTGCATAATTTTCAAAACATCAAGGATGATATTAGAATTCATGACCCCAAACTCAGCATCTAACTGTCATTTTCTGAAACGTGAGGGGTGATTGGTAATTAACCCTATAAAAAACTTTCATCCTATAGTCCCGTACAAATTTTGATATATTGCAAATTTCCCCTATCACTTTACTCTATCAATCAACTTTCTTTTTATTCCACAACAAGTAGATCTGATAAGACATTAATTTCTTAATTTGGTACCAATTTTCTTAATTTGGTACCAATTTAAAAAATAAAAAAAGAGCTCGCAAGCAAACAAATTTTGAGCTATATGCAAAATTTACAAATAAAAATAACTTTAAATTATTTATTCTTATATTTATTTTTATCTATGAAAATGAAAAATTTCAAATGCATCGTTTTGGATTATTATCAAGAGGCCAATCTCAAGGCCTAAATTCTCAATTAACATCAATTGGCAAGACAAATTTTGAGCATATAAATAATAATTCCATCTCTTTCACCGAAGGCATTGCATAATAAAATTCGGACGTCTTTAAAAAAAAAAAAAAATGTCATTGCTTGACTAAGAATATGAGATTAACCAGAAAAAGCATTCATAACATTGTTGTGTTACTCATTTGGCTTAATCCTTGATGGAGAATTGAGTCTTCAATTTTCCAACGAGATGCGGCAGCGTCTTGAGGTTTTCGTCTATTGAATGGTTAACGCACGACTCTAAATCATTTACGGCCTCAGTACCAATCTTTTGGAGCTTTGCTGACTCAAACTTGTCTTGGCAAACCATTAGAGACCTATTCAATCGCTCCTGCATCGAGTATGAAAAGAATTAATAACAGAAATTCATTAATTAAAAAAAAAAATTAAAAATTGAATGATATGCGATGGAATGGAGATCAAATACTTGATTATTATAAACTCAACAACCCTGTGGTGAGTTAAAATTTTAATCCTAATTAATCCCATCAACCCAAAGCCTTTCAGTAAAATCATACAAACAAATCTGGAACGGTTATAAAGTTGTGCAGCACAGTATATGAATCCATATGGGCTCCTTGAACCTTAACTATATCAGCGGCTTTTCAATATCGTTCTAAGAATCATAACAGGCCAAGAATTTCTGATAAGGCTAAAATTTAAGAAACCAAGTTGCTGTTAGTCGATCTAAGACGATTTTTTTTTTTTTTGAAAAATGGCAAGCATAAGCCTTTTGAGTATTTGAGTTGGTCAGGAATAAAAAGAGGTGTTTTGAAGTAAGGTTTGCTAGAGTTAAAAGAACTTACGAGCAGATAAATATCAGGATTCAAAAACTAAAAAATTATATAAAAAGACTGAAAAACAAGTTGTTTAGGCTAGGAACAGCAAGAAATAGCAAAATTAGAAGGGAGAAAGACTAAGTGAGCAAGCCCCACGCATACATGCCTCAATAGACCAGAAAACTTAGTTTTCATTCACGAAACAATAATTTACATTGAGATATGAACTATAGAGTCATAATATTCTCCCTTACAACAAATCGAATGTCCCATGCCTTGTATTAAGGATCACAATTAGTTGACTTGAAGAGAGTTCACTAAGACTCGTTTTATTTAGTAGTTTCCACCGTTCATTCGATGAAAAAAGAAAAGAGAATTTCAAAATTGATACACTTTAGATATCATCCCAAAGACTACATAAAAGCAGATTCTAGCTGTTTGAATGTCGACTTAAGAAATTGATTCACCCCTATGAGGTGTATCAAGAAACTAACTATCAGTAGATGCAACTTATTTCTGTGTTTTCTCTACCAAACATTTAATTTGATAATGTTATGAAACATATGAATACACCAAGTGGAGAAAGGGGAAAAACATAACAATTAAAATGGTAGAAAACTTCACCTTGAACTATACAACAGCTCAACAAACGATGGAAGGAAGTAAACTTACTTGAAACCTGGCCATCTCATTCTCAAAGTGTTGCTGAGCTCTCATAACTGGAACACTGCAATGTTCAACACAATTGCTAATGTCTTCTTGCTTTCTTCTCCTATCAAAGCAATCATATGCACATTTGAAGTATGCTTGCTGAAAAAAATAATCATTCAAACATTGAGCAAAATCACTCCAGACACACACACACGTGCAAGAAAAAAAGGTCACAGTTGCAATTGAAGATCACAACTTATACAAAATCACGGATTCTCCACTCGATTCAGCAAAAGTTGTAAAGAGGAGATATATTTACACTGCATGTAATCTTTAGTCATCCACTCAACCCAAAAAAAAAAAAAAAAAAAACTGTTTCTGTCAAATTTATACAAAATAAAGTACAAATATATTGCTTGGTTTTTCATCTGTAGAGACAAACTCTGTCCATAGACAACTCTAAAGATCAACAAGAACACAAAAAAAACCAACCCACATGAAACAAGTAATCAAACAATCCATAAAACAATCAAAAAACTAAAATTTTTATAAATATAAAGAACACAACAAAGCCAAACATATATACAAAAGTACAAAATTTTAATTTTTTCTACCCAACCATAAGAGATCATATAAATCCCGCATGAGAAAGACAACCAACAATCCATAAAGCAATCTAATGGACAAAAATTTAACAAATACAGGGCACACAGGCCAACACAACCACATATAGAACAACAATTGCATAAATAAATCTCAAATTTTGCTACATACCCATTAAATCACATAAACCCTACATCAGAAAACACAATCAACCAATTGAAAAGAAAATCAAAAGGCCAAAATTTTCACAAATACAGAACACAAGCCAACACAAGCATATAGAAAACAGCAATTGGAGAAATAAATTTCAAATTTTGCTACATAACCATAAAAAATCACATAAACCCTACATCAGAAACACAACAAAGCCAATCATAAGGCTGAAATTTTCACAAATACAAAGAACACAAGCCAACACAAATAAATATAGAACAAAAATTACAGAAACCAAATTTCAGATTTTGCTACATACCCCCTAAAAATCACATGAAACCCAGATGAAAAAAAAAATTAAAAGGCTCAAAAGGGCATAAATTCAAAAAGAGAGAGGAGACCTGGAGGGTAAAATTGATATGGTCTTGAACAGGAAAAAGATGGCTTTGAGCAGCTGCATTTACTTCTTCAAGTTTCTTTCTCATTCTCTCTGAAACTATTTGTTCCTCCATTGCTGTCACGTGATTCATCTTCTCAACTTTTGAGTTCTCTTTGATTGATTGTTTCTTTGTTTCGCTGGAAAACTCCGAAGAGAGGAAGGAGGGTTGAGGGCTTTAACCTGAAACCTGTGTAATGTTTTTAAATTAAATGGTATAGGAAACGACTTGACGTACGAACCAACTAGAGAATGAAGAACGCCTAGACGTAGTTATAACTAGAAACCGGACGACGTGTCGTATTAAAATTGAAGATTAAAGTCCCTAGGAGTTTGAATATTGTTATAATAGTCCTTGGTGTTTTAAGTGTTCATTCCTTGAAACATCTTTGATACTCTTAATCATATACTAAAATTCAAATTATATGGTAAAAATGCATAATAAATAATTAATAATATGACAATTGAAGATAAAATAAAAATATTTATTCTTCAAATTATAGAATGACAACATTTTATTGAAGGTTTTTAACATATTGTATATTCATCGATGCATATGTTTACGCTGTTGATGATCATCCATCAAGAAGCGCTCTAGGGTTCACCCGGGTGGTTTACCGGTTACCTTCTTTGGTGCCCCTATGCTTTATGATCTCAAGCAGTTCCAAATAATTAATTTTTGATATCTGCATTCTGTGAAAAATCAGATTTTTGTTAAGAATCAAAGTTTTTGGTGAAGAAATTCAAGCCCATTTGTATCAATAGAATAGGAGAGACCTGGATGAAAGTGAAGAAGTTTGTGTTTTTGGGGGCTTGATGTAATTTTCTAGTGAAGAACGCAGAGAGAGATGGGTGAACAAGATGGATTGGAAGGGAGCCAGCTAGTGGATCTTTCCAAGCACCCATCTGGGATTGTTCCCACTTATTGAATTGAGATCCGAAGATCACGTAGAAGATAATGCAGTTACTGCAAATCAGGCCAAACCTCAACAAGCAATGAAGAAATAGCAACAATCCTGGACCTTTATTTTCGGTTCTGTTTTATGCCTTGATTTACATAACAGACTTTGTTTTTGAATTTTGTATATTGTTTTAGTAGGCGTCAGTTACTCATAGCAATATTATAAAGTCTTCTATTCTATACACAAAAATTATATAAAAACACTGAAAGTTTTCACAGCCAATTGGTTTGTTAATTCTACATGGTATCAGCCAGAACGACTTACGTCCTTTCCTAAAATTCTTCATCTCTGCTCATGTCTCTCCTCTTTTCTTTCTCATTCCCCTCCATAGCCACCATGGCCATTTCCGCCAATTCTTCCTCTACTTTCGACAACACTCCCAGCACTCTCCCTACCTTCAATCCTTCCTCCAGCATTAATATCGCAAAACTTACCCTTACTAACTTTCCAACTTGGAAAGCAACCATCTTTCCCTATCTTAAGGGTCAAAAAGTGTTTGGCTATGTTGATGGCACTATTAAAATGCTTGTGTAGGAAATTCCTCTCAGTGATGGCAACATGCAACCCAACCCATCCTTTGAAATCGGGGAAACTCAAGATAATCTTATTCTAAGCTGTATTAATGCCTCTCTTATTGATGATGTACTCATGCAGGTAGCACACTGCACAACTTCTTATGAAGTCTGGACATCTCTTCACACTGCTTTTGCTACACAATCAAAAGCCAAGGCCATCCAAGTCCGTTCGTAACTTGCTACTGCTCGGAAAACTACTTAGTCTATTACAAACTATTTCATGTATGTGAAGACGTTGTCTGATGACCTTGCTATGGCAGGACAACCCCTTAAATGTGATGAAATCATCACATATCTACTCGCTGGTCTTGGACCCGAGTATGATACTCTTGTTACAACAGTTTCTATTAAAGAAAATGTCACCCTAGAAGAGGTGTACTCTGTGCTACTCACCTGTGATGCACGTGTGCAGCAACATCAACAAGCTCTCTTGTTTGCCATACCATCGGCCAATGTTGCTACCAAGCAACAATCTTTTTCTGGATCTCATGCCACAACAACAATTCTATCTTTCGAGGCAGGGGCCGTGGCCAACACTCTTCCCATGGTAAAGGTAATTTCCAAACTGCTTCTCGTTCAAATAACAACTACAATAATCTTTGGTGTCAGCTATATGATAAACCTGGCCATACTGTGGCTCGCTGCTTCAAGAGATTTGATAGTCACTTTCTTCCACAACCTCCTCGTCTAACTCCTCAAGCCAACATTGCCTCTAACCAACTCTCTCAGCACTCAACGAAGCAAGAATGGCATGCCGACACTGGAGCTACGCACCATTTGACTAACAACTACAACAATCTTAATGTTCGTGGTGAAGAGTATGCTGGAAATAATCAAATTCAAGTTGGAGATGGCATAGGTTTGCACATAACTCACCTAGGCAAGGCATCCTTATCCACACAGTCTCACTCGTTTGTCCTTGATCAAATATTAGTTGTTCCTCAAATTACCAAAAATCTGATTTCTACCAAGAAATTCACTAAGGATAATCCTGTCTATTTTGAGTTTCATGCTTCTTTTTTCTTGATCAAGGATTACTCAGGGAACACCCTGCATAAGGGTATCGTCAAGGATGGTCTCTACTGTTTTTCCCAGCCTCTTTAACGTTTATATCCCAAAGCTCTTGTTGGTGTCCGTGTCTCAGTCTCAGATTGGCATTGTCGTCTTGGGCACGCATCCTACAATACTGTCAATCATGTTATCCGCACTAATCACCTTTCATTTATTTCCACTAAAAGGCACCGAATATGCCCTGAATGTGAGATGGCAAAAAGCCATAACTTACCTTTTTCAATTTCTGTACCTCATGTTATGTAGCCCCTAGAACTGATTTATTAAGATGTATGGGGGCCTAGTTCCATGATTTCGAGCTACAACTCTCGTTATTATTTTTTTTGTTTGGATGCTTTTACAAAATTTATTTTGTTATTTCCTCTTAAGCAAAAATCTGATGTTGAAAGTGTTTTCTTAAACTTTCAGACGTATGTCGAATGCCACTTTAACACCAAAATTAAGCCTATTCAAACTAATTTGGGGGGGGGGGGGGGGGGGGGGTGATATCGTAGACTAAATACATATTTTTCCAAATGTGGTATTCAACATCGTCTGCTTGCTCATACACTTATGAGCAAATGGGATCCATTGAAAGACGACATCGCCAAATTGTTGAAATGGGTCTAGTCTTATTAGCCTATGCTAATCTGCCAAAACCATATTGGGAGGATGTGTTTCTAACCGATGTGTATATAATTAATCGTCTTCCTAGTAAAATTTTGAATAATTGCTCTCCCTTTGAAAAAGCTTACAATCAAAAGCCAAATTATAACTTTATGCGTGTTTTCGGTTGTGCTTGTTGGCCTAATTTACGCCCTTATAACAAACATAAATTTGAGTACAGATCTAAAACATGTATTTTTATTGGCTACAGTCTCTCACATCAAGGGTATAAGTGTCTCGATTTATCTACTGGCAAAATCTTTGTGTCCCGACATGTTATATTTGATGAAGCTTTTTTTCCTTGCAAATCTAACACTTCTGCATCCATAGTACCTGAGTCAGCCACTATCACCTTACCATCCAATCTACATCCAAGTGTCTCAAATTCTCTCACTCTACCTGCAGGTGATGTTACTAGTGCTAATCCTGTCTCTCCGCCTGAATCTGATATTATGCCAGCTGCTGCTCCTACAACTGAAGTGTCAAATGCTGTGCCACCTCCAGCAATGCATGCAGCTCATTCCTCTATTACAGATGCACCTATTCCTTCCACCATAACAAGAAAGATGACTATCAGATCACAGACAAACTCCCTCAAACCGAAGCAACCATATGTTTGGTTCATCAAATACCCACTGCCTCAAGCACTTTTTGTTGAATACTGCCACACCGAGGTTGAACCAACCTCCTTTACTGAAGCTTCAAAGAACCAAAAGTGGAGGGAAGCAATGAACATGGAATTTAATGCTCTCTTACAAAATAAGACTTCGGATCTTGTGCCAGCTCGTTTCGATATCAATCTTGTTGGAAATAAATGGGTTTACCTATCAAGACTCACGCCGATGGAACTGTAGAGAGGTACAAGGCACGACTGGTCGCTAAAGGTTATCATCAACAACATGGTGTTGATTTCCTCGAAACCTTTAGTCCCATCGTCAAACAAGGAACCATTCGGTTGGTATTATCTATAGGTCACTCAAAGAATAGGTGTATTTGGCAACTGGATATCCAGAATGCCTTTCTTCATGGGCTGCTACATGATGAAGTCTATATGTGCCAACCTCAAGGGTATATTCATCCGGATTTTCCCACGCATATATGCCACTTAAAGAAAAGTCTGTATGGCCTTCGTCAAGCTCCCCGTTCTTGGTTTTCTCGATTGACAGACCACTTGCTTCAATATGGTTTTGTTGGCTCTAAATCTGATCCTTCTCTTTACATTCTACAGACTGAAAATTTCCAGTTGCTCATACTCAGCTATGTTGACGATATAAGCGTCACAGGCTCTCACGTTACGGAAGTCACCAAATTAATTTCTTATCTTGGACGTGCCTTTCCTATCAAAGATTTGGGCTCGTTATCCTACTTTCTCAGAGTTGAAACTCTACGTGATGGTGGTACTCTTTTTTTGACTAAGAGGAAATATGTTATTGACTTATTACAAAGACTCAAGTTAGATAAGGTGAAACCTTGCAGCATGCCAATGTCAACAAGCTGCAAGCTAACCAAATTTGAGGGAGTTGATTTCGACGACCCATACTTATATCGAAGTACTATTGGTGCCTTACACTATCTTGGTTTTACAAGGCCAATTATTGCGTTTGTAGTTCATATGGTGAGCAAGTTCATGCATTAGCCCAAAGATGTTCACTGGCAGGCAGTGAAAAGAATACTTCGTTATCTCAAACATACCGTCAACTATGGTTTACATATTACAAATCAGTTTGCTCATACTTTACAAGCCTTTAGTGACACCGATTGGGCCGGTGACAATGATGATAGACGAAGTGTAGGGGCATATTGTATTTTTCATGGTTCTAATTTAATTAGCTGGAGCTGCAAACAGCAACAAACTGTAGCATGCAGCAGCACTGAATCAGAGTATAAGTTACTAGCCAACACTGCTGCTGAATTACAGTGGC